CCCTGCCTTTCTTCAGTGATGAATCTTTTGGAGAAGGCCTCACTTCCCCAAGCAGATCCAGTAGCTACTAAGGTGACCATGTAGAAAATATAAATCTGTCTCCCTTCATTTTGTGTTAGACATATCTAGCTATGGAGCCTGTGATCTCCAGCAGAGGTTTGAAAGAATATAACATTTGGAAAAATTATGTAACCTCCACAAATTCCTTGTTGTTTTTTGTTGTTGTTGTTGTTGTTTTTTGGTGTGTGTGTGTGTGTTTTTTTTTCAAATTGAAAGACCTGCAGATTTTAGAGCAAAGGTTCTGAATGTTCTAACTCTATGTAAGTCAGCCTTTAGAAAAATTCCACCCTTACCTTTTCACAATTAGAAAGGTTATAAATAATGTATTTGGCTGAAAAGGAAGCTCAGCCTGTGGCAGATGGTATCATTCTAGAGGACTGGGGTTTCTGTGAAGATGGCATTCTTTCAGATCGGAACTTCAGCAGACTCAAAGAACTGAAGCTCCTCATAGGAGCAGACATGTGCTTTATGGATCTTAGAAAAGCTTACAACTTGGCTCCTAGGATAAGAATATTGTGTCACACTGAGGTTATGAGACCCACAGCCAGTTTCTGCCGACTTCCACATTGTATTTCCCAGCCCTGGAAGCTGCCGCCTGTTTATTCGTTGGTGTACTGTGTAGCATTTGAACTTGGGATTTCTACTGCATGAGTTTTGTCAGTTGGATTCTTTTATTCCCAGAACACTGGTGTTTTTTTATACATACTGGCTACTGAGCAAGAAACTTGCCATACAAGTTGTGTCTTTTTCAAAGTGATTTGGAGAGCTCATATAAATAGACACCAAGAGAGAACTGGAATAACATAGCCACTGAGCACTGCTACTTCCGAGACATCTGTTTGTATGTATTTTGAAAAACCTGGGACGGGAATCTCTTGGAAATTTGTGAACAAAGGTTTTTGAGACTATGATTTCCTTTGTGACAGCTAAAAGTGATGGATCTTAAAGGTTTATATAACGATTAAGCTGCCATTGTCTTCTGCCTTGAAGGAAAGAAAATGAGAGGTGTTGGTGGCCTGCAGGAATGAGTTACTTCACTGACCCTTTATCGATCACCTGATTGCGCCCAGCCCTGTGATTAGTCCAGGCTATGCCAGGATAAAACCTAAGGCTCAGGTTGTGCTGGGAAACAACAGTCTGAAAAGAGATACGGTGGCACTGCAAAGGCTGTCTGGCAAGTCAGGCAAGGCCCCACAAAGCAGGTACTTGAGCTGTATGCTAGAGGATGAACAGCTGGGTATTCATCCAGCCATTATAGCACCTGTAAAGGATGCTAGCCAGAGATAGGAGAGGGCACAGGACTCCACTTCAGGAGTTGTGTGTGTTTCCTTGATACCCTCTACCAGATTCAGGCCGGCCTCAGAAAATACCACCCAGGTGGAGTGTTGGCACAGATGAAAATACTTCCTCTTGTTATCCTTTGATTCAACTCATTACTTAATTATCTAATTAGTACATTCTTTACCCTTCCTAAGAAAATTTCTTTGGCTTAAAATACATCATTTTGAAAATTTTATCTGAAACCCTTCTGTTATTTAAAGTCTAGTTGATCTATGTGGTCATATAATAAAGGCCAATGAGAAGTAGTAGGCATAAAGGTTGTGATAGTAATTAGCATACATTCATGATTAATATCTACTAGCTTCTGTGCTAATTTTATCACTTCTATTATTCTTTTCTGTTTTCTCAAGCCATTATTTTCCTGGTGACTTGACCTATGCTTGGCACATAGTAGAAGTTCAGTAAATACACCTGGAGTGAAGGTGTGTGGGGGGGTGTGCCTGAATGAATTTTTAAAACAACCCCTAAGGTGAATGCTACTATTATTCCTGTTTAATATGGAAGATTGCGGTAGAATTGTCAGTTGATTGACCCAAAGTCACATTTCTGGTGTTTGACACACCTGCATTTGAACATAGGTTTATTTCCCTTCCATTTCATCAGGTGCACGTTCATTGTGTGTTAGTAAATGCCAGGCCATGACGGGAAAATAAATGGAGTCTCAGTCCCACATGAGTGTATAGTGAGTGCAATCTTTTAAAACCAGTGCCGCTTTTTGAGTGACATAAGAATCCCAAGTCTTGACAGACATAGGGCTAGGTCTGCTCTGTGTACACTCCTGCCACCTAGAAAAATACCACTGCTCTTTCTGTTACTTTATCATCACAACAGTAGGTGTTTCTGACTTTTTAAATTGAAGATTACAGTATTGATTTATGATGTTTCAATATGCCATGTGTTCTTTGGGAATTTTGTAAACTCTCTTATCTTGCCACTGAAACTCACTAGTCTACTTGGATGCAGTTTTAAGGTCGCAGTAGGGACTTCACTGCAAGAAAAAGAAAGTTCCGTAAAGTGGGTGTGTGAGCAATTTAATTATACACATGCGTGTGTATTGCTCCAATAAAGTAGAGGTGGTTCCACGTTATCTAAGTTATGGAATTGTTCCCAGCCCCTACAACAACAGTATAGAATAGCAGGGTCCAGAAGTTTTCTTTGGTGAGTGTTATATAACCTGTGGATTAGCCTTTTAATTCATGTTTTGCTTGGGCTAATCCTTTTATATTAGAGTTTCCCAAGCACATGCCACTTGACAGAGGAGAAAGCATCCAGAAAACCAACTTACCAGAAGCAGCCTAGCAGCTTAGGGGCAAGCGAGGGCAAGGGGAAGCTTTGACAGTGACGCACATGTGGGTCTTATTTTCCACATACGGATAATAGTAAACGAAAAAGCACTATTACTGTTATGGGCTCTAGGGTTATAGAAGTGTTCTAGAATTTTTTTCACATACACTGTAGATTCTTCCTTTTTTCCTCCCATATATCTCCCCGGCTGATAAGCTGAGTCACGTCGAGTTGGTCTGTTTGCATTATCTGTCTTCCTAATAAATGGTAAACTTCTGGTAGGCCAAGACTTTGTCTTACCCATCTTCATATTCTTAGTACCAGCCATGCACATAATAGGTCTGCATCAAAGAGCAAATTTCATAATATACAGCTTTTGGCAAAACAAAGTAGACCGGACATTTGTCAAAAATCTCAGCAAAATTTAGATGTTCCATACATTTCTAAAAAATGAGACAAATGGTGTCTAATATGTGTATGTACTATTGTGTTAATATGTAAGAAACTGTCAGGATGTCTAGGTAAAGAGTAATAACTTTTAAAAAATTGGACCAGGGTGCATGAACATCACCTGTCACCCTTTGGCAGAATCGCTGTTATCCATCAGTGATCTCAGTAGTTTTATTAGTGTCTGACTTTATTGATCCGTCATTACCATAGAGTAAGTGAGATTGAAGCTGACTGATTGTTAACTGGATCAGGTAATCTTCTGGCTCTGGTTTTGGCAACCTTGCTTAAGTGTCTTTTTGCACTGTGGACTGTGGGAGGCTCTTAGTGAAATTGCAAATTATTGGATTAATGGCAGAGCATCACCAGCACATTAAGGATGTCTTTTTAGAGAAATAAAATGTGAAAATGACTATAAAGTAGAAAATGTCAAAGAAAGAGAGATAGTATCACAGTGCCTCTTAGCAGAGATAGCTGTATTTTACATAAATAATGCAACTCTAGCTTATCCATCACTCCAAGTTCTTTAGATATCTTCCAGATTTACACATGACACGAATGTGTGCATGCTACAAAATTAACACTGATAATGGTTGTCAGGAGAGTTAATAATAACCAAAGAGCTTTCCATTAGAAGTAGTTTGGCGAAGATAATGATACAAAAATGCTTTGTCCCCAAACTGGCTTTTCTGGTTGTTCTCTGCCTCCTGAACAATGCTGCCTTCTGTAAACTATTTCCCCACAGAACAACAAAGTCTGAAACATATCTTCTCATATTTCTTCTCATGGGGGTAAGGGATACATTGGTGATGTAAAGTCTCATACCTGAATCAATAGGAAATTAATTTAGCTGTTACTAGAAAATATGGGTATTATGGTTAAAAAGAATCCAGAATAAAGTCACTGATATTACCATAACCAAACTTTTCTGGGAAGAGAACACTTTCTTATTGAAAGTGAGGCTTTTATTTTTAACTTCCTTTTAATAATACCTTAAAATCATGGTCTAAAATGCTTGACTTTTCAGGGCTTTTTTATTTTATTTTTTTTCAGGGTTCTTATTTAAAGACAGATAAAGTGACAAAATAGGCCATTTTCTTTTTTGTGATATCCTTAAGAAATTTAGTAAGTATGAAATGAAATATTAAAACATTTTTTGTAGTCAGTTGAAATTCAGGACTCAAACTTCACTGGAGATAAATAAGATTGTAGAATGCCTTTTTCTTCTAATAGAGGATCTCTGTGAATATTTTGTTTCTTCTCAAATGTGGTCAGTTAAACTCTGCCAGTTGAAATCCAGATAATAGAAGGAAAGTACAAAAGTACAAGTGCTATTTCTCAAATTTTAATATGCATGTGAATCAGATCCCCTGGGATCTTGGTAAAATGTAGGTGCTGATTTTTTAAAAGGTCAAGCCCCACACCCTGCATTTGTAGCAAGCTCCTTGGTGGTGTTCATATTGTTGGGCCCCCAGACCATATTTAGAGTAGCAAGGATGTACAGCCCAGTCACTAAATCTCAAAGTATTTACGAATTGCAGTCATGATGTTGTCTTCATGCATTTTGATTTCTTGGGATCTGTGAATGTTTGTCAGGCTAGGAATAGCTCACATCGGAGATTGGAGAAGTAATGCTAAAGTAAAAGTCTGTGGGTTTCATAGCTTTATACTGATCTCGGTGGGCTGTTGCTTGCTAAATAAGCATTTGATGGTATATTAATGAATTTTAGGAAGTTGAAGTGTTAAGCTGAAGTATAAAACAAAAATGTATTGGTCATCAGTTGATTACAAACAGTTTGCATTGAAATAATTTCTGTGTTCCATCTTACGATGCTGTGTGTTAAAAATGTCCTCCCCTCTTCATGCAGAGTATGATTTCTTCCATTGTGAACAGCACTTACTATGCAAATGTCTCAGCAGCAAAATGTCAAGAATTTGGAAGGTGGTACAAACATTTCAAGAAGACAAAAGATATGATGGGTAAGCAAAAAAATCATCACGGTGGTAGCTACCTACCATTACTTGTCATTTGGGGGTTTATCAAAGTCACATCTTAAGCCAGGTCTTTTGATTGCCCAATTAGAGATCAATTTAGAATGTTTCTTTGAGGGTGGGGAGTGGGTATGAGTATAATGAGATAATTAAATTCAATAAATGTTTGTGTTTAAATCAACCAAACTGACTTGGTTGTCAGACATTCAGGAAATCGAGGCGTGGGGTGGGGGGAGCTGTCATTTTTTAACATCTCAGTGAAGACCTAACCAGGCCTTGAATAACTAATATTAGCTGTAATTTCTCTCAGAGGTAAATCATGGTTTTAGGATTTTGGTTTTTATTTGAAAGAAACAGGGTCTGTTTTTATACCTAATTTTTAAGGAAACTAAACTATTAACCTTATTAAACTGTATAGTTTCCACAATTGCAATACCGTGGTTCCAGCCCCCACACTCCCATAGGTGGGTGAGCATAGTAGTTTACCATTGCATAATTTCTAAACTTTTCAGCATCACAGCATATCTTAACATGCAGCGTTAAGTGAGTATTTTGTTGTGCAAGAAATATGGTAAAATTATCTGCAGTGTAAAATAACAAATAAAGGTTGAGTACTGTATCTAAGCATTTAGATTATGGCATTTTCTCCATATTGAATTTGTTAGTGCTCACAAAAGCAAACACTGTGATTAAGGTTAATGTTCTAATTTCTATTAATGATTTCTTTCACATAGTTGTACTGAGTGTATGTTTTAAAATAATATAGGAGTGGGATGTTTAATATGCATAACATTATGCTTTGTTTTAAATCCCTTTCTTATTTCTATTACATTCATTTAATAGTAACAACTATAACTTTTCCTAAAGATTTTAAGAGACAAGGGAACTAGCAATTTGAGCATGTTTTAGCTTTTAATATTTGAAGAAAAGCCATCCATCTATAAAAACAGATTCTTTGCCTTTTATAGCTTAGAGCTGTAATGAAGACAATGCATCATTTTTGGAATAATTGCTTGAATTACTATTCTCTGTGAATGGCCCACTTGGGCTGATACCACTGGTAGAAATTAAAGGTTTTTCCCCAATTCTTATATTTTGCATATATCAGTGACTATAGCAATGTGGTAAGTTCCTCTAAATATAAAACCTGCATATTTAATGACAAGAGGGATGATTATTAAAATCAAAATAGAGTTTATATCGGAGAAGTATGGTATAAATTTGGTCAATTTATGGTATAAATTTGACCTATTCACAGAGCTCCATACTCAGCCTTTTTAGTCAGGAACATCAAACCAGCCTCCTCCTGTGTAACAGCAAGTATTTGACACACTAGAGCTAACTTATAGCTAATCCATATGAGGGATCTAGGCAAGGAAGAAGCGTACATCCCCACTTGTTGGAAAATACATTGCAAAATAGTAACAGTATCATTGTTTTAACAGAATGACTCCCTACCCTTTCCTTGCAAGATTGTGTTTAAATGCCTGAATTCACTATGTAGCCCTGGCTGGCCTGGAGCTCACAGTGATCCTCCTGCCTCAGCCTCCCAAGTACTTGGATTATAAGTGTGCACCACCATGCCCAGTAAGAAGCAGTAGCTTCTTGAAAAAAACAATTGGGTCTTAATGACACTGCCTTATTTTTATAATACTATAATAATACGGCCTTATTACAACACTGTAATAATACTGCCTTATTATTCCAATAAATCACTTGCTTCTTCCAAGAAGTATTTGCAGATATACCTGTTGTCCATGATGGTTACACTTAAATTAAGCCATATAAGATACTCAGCTTGATGTTCAATTACAATACTCAGTTTTTAATGCCCATTTTTACTATAGCTTCATTATATAGACTATGTCGTTGTATTTACTGCTATATAAAATTGAATTTTAGTTACATTTTATGTCATTTTTTTCTTTCATTCTTTTTCCTAAAATTAATTTTTTTCCTGAAGCTTATACATATCAGGAGAAAATGTTTGTAAATTTCTTTTCTTTCGTTGCTTGTTATCATATACTTCTTAGTTCATGATAAGCCTTTAAGCAAGAGAAATTTTTGTACGAGCCATTTCAAAGTAAATCACTGCTTATATACACCTACTTGAGGTAAATACGTGAAAATGCATAACATTTTGACCCATGGCTAGTCATGCAAAGAATTTGGGTATTGTAAATGTTATCCCTTAAATCGAAGCCACATTTTAAAAACTGAGATCAGGAGTGTAGCTCTACTTTGAAAGATTGTGGAATTGTTCAGAAGAGGAAAACAAAACTGCAGTCCAGTAAGTTCCATCTTGAAAATTTCTTGATTTCTTTGGTCTGTCTGCAGCGTGCCTGTGCCTACTGTCTTTTTTCTTTAGGAAGTGGCCCGAAATCCCCATCAGTGCCCACTGCCGTTGACTGAGCGTGGTTTCCTTTTCTGTCCCCTTCAGTTGAAATGGATAGTCTCTCCGAACTATCCCAGCAAGGTGCCAACCATGTCAACTTTGGCCAGCAGCCGGTCCCCGGGAACACAGCCGAGCAGCCGCCATCCCCCGCGCAGCTCTCCCACGGCAGCCAGCCCTCTGTCCGGACCCCTCTTCCGAACCTGCACCCTGGGCTTGTGTCCACGCCTATCAGTCCTCAGTTGGTCAACCAGCAGCTAGTGATGGCTCAGCTGCTGAACCAGCAGTATGCAGTGAATAGACTCTTAGCCCAGCAGTCCTTAAACCAACAGTACTTGAACCATCCTCCCCCCGTCAGTAGATCTATGAATAAGCCTTTGGAGCAGCAGGTTTCAACCAACACAGAGGTGTCTTCCGAGATCTACCAGTGGGTACGCGATGAGCTAAAACGAGCAGGAATCTCCCAGGCAGTATTTGCACGCGTGGCTTTTAACAGAACTCAGGTCAGTTTGGATCTGTTTGTGCATATTTTTGCTCTCTCTTCCCTTCGTCTCTTGTTCTTGCACCATGTGTGCTAACGTTCATTCTTTGACTCAGTACTGACATTTCACCTTTCTCTAAACATGGTCGTAATGGTTGTTCTGGTGGGATCTAAATTTTTTAACTTCTCTCCCTGCAGTGTAGCTCCTCTCTTGGGACGGCTATGTACAGATTGACCCCAAGTCAGGGTCCTTGCAAGAATAATTTAAATATAAAAGCATTTCACACTGGCATTGTCCGTGTTCTTCATGGTAGAATCATAAACTGTTACTCATAGAAGGTTAAGTCAAGGCCTTGGGTAGAATTCTAGGCTTCGTGTTTAGTGTATTTTCCATGTTTCCACATAGATCAAACTTAATTATATAAATGTGCTTTTTTGAAGTTTTTTCTATAACAATATTTTTGACACTGAGAACTCAGTAGCAGTTACTGATATTTAATTTTAAGCAGTCATTTAAAAACTTTAATAGGACATGTTAACATAAAATGTTGCTTAGCTTTATCTTCTCTCTCGTATTGTTGTTAATATTCTTCTAGACCCATTCTTTAGACCAGAGGTCAGCACAGGTTTTTCAGTAAGAGGACAGATAGTAAATATTTTAGACTTTGAGGGCCATAAAGCTCTGTGGCTTCTAGTGATGAGCAGCCATAAACAATACACAAATGGGCAGTCTGTCTACAGAACAGGCTGTGAGGTAGGTTTGGTCTGTAAGCCTTATTTTGCACACCCATTTTTAGACTTACCATTGAGAAGTCTAAAGTACCTTTGTCCTCCTGGCCATATTCTGATGAAGATACTATCTGTCACAGTGGGTGGTAGAGGGACATAGAGAAAAGGTGATACATGATCTGAGAAATCATAAGATAAAAGATTTTTGTTTTGTTTTATTTGTTTATTTTTTGAGGGGGGGGTCTCACTATGTTGTACAGTCTGGCCTTGAACTCACTATGTAGCCCAGGCCTCAAACTCACAGCCATCCTCCTGCCTCAGCCTCTCCTGTGCTGGGATTATAGGCATGTGCCACTATGCCCCACCTAAGTTAAAAGAGTTTTGAGAAACCCTAAACAAATTGATTCTTTTAAACTGTGAATGAAAAGATTTTCTTTCTTTCTTTGGATACGTGTGTTTTTTTAGGCATACTAAAAAATGAGAAGAGTGTGTAACTTTGATGAGATTGAAGATGTCTTTTCGTCTTTCTTGTTTTACCACTGTTATTTCTTTGGTCAAATTATTTTTGTTTTTTTGGCTGACTATATTTTTCTTGCATATTTAAGTTATTACATGATTATAAGAATAAAATTCTGATACAAAAATAATCTAATATTCCTTATCGGTAGAGTTTCCATACTTAGAACCCAGGCTATGAATTATTTTTGGTTGCCTTAACTAGATTGAGAGTTAAGAGACCATGCAAAAATGTTTGTTTTTAGTTTTTTCATGTATATATACATATACACACACACTTTTGTATATTTGTGTCTCAAGTCAATGCAATAGAGCTTTTATGGTCCTGAGTTTTTACTTAGTTCTGTATTTTTACAGCTTAAAATTGTTCATTATTAGCTAGTAATTTTAATGTGACATTTAATTTTAGTTGGGGGTAATCGTTAAAAAATAAACGAATCCAAAATTAGCCCTCTAGATATTCCTGTTTCTGGTAGCATTCTTTATTTTTGTAAACACAGTACTAGTAATTCTCAGTACTGGGCAAAAATAGGTCTTTACCTAAAAGTATAATAATGCTTGCTGAATTCAATTACAAGCCCACAGACAAAAACAACTTTGCCATAGACACAAATTATAGACATAGATTTATTGATAAGTCATTTAAAAACTGAGCAGTTAATCTTAAAGCACTGTGAAAAGTGCATTTTATACTGTGATGAGTGTCTCAAGAGCAGAGCTGAAGGTGATCACCACTGATCACTGGAGTTTTCCTGGGTTCTGATGCCACAGCTCTTACTGGCGACTGTTACTTCTACTTTTGGTTCTTACACTGAAAAATGCTACAAATATCTAAGGGATTTATTCTGGAAGAAAGGCAGAATTGTCTCTTTTATTCCAGATTAATCCCCTTGAAAAGATAGGTATCTCTGTAGTTAATATTAAAAATAACTATATTCTTGAGGATGACAAAAGAATGAAAACCTGGTTTAGCTCCATACAGGTACCAAGTTAGAAAAATATTACTAACAACTTATTGGTGGGCTGGGAATTTAGCTCAGTGATTCCACCACCTGCCTCGCAAGCACAAAGTCCTGAGTTCGATCCCTGGTACCAAAGACTTATTGGGGGGCCTAGGCTGCAAAGATGTTTGACTGTAAATCTTTATATCGATACTTGGCATTTCTTAGTAGAAGAAGATGCTGGGGCATATTTGAAGTTGTTTGGTTTAAATAGGAGTGATTTTATATGTATATTTAAATGTTCATTGGTTGATGACTAGCTTTTGCACACGCAAGCATGTATGTATTTTCAGCGGTCATACTTAAAAATCACGCACACACACAGCTGCATTTAATGATTATACATTCATATGAATGCATGTAGTGTGTTTATTTCAAAGTGTATGCATTTCAATAAAAGCAGGTGCAGAGTGAAAGTATGGTGTGAGTGTGGATACGAAAATACACATGCTAATGCATATGTATAGACAAGGAGCTCTGCAGAGTTAAATTGCACATCACACATTTGTGTGCACTTCTTACAATGTGTAATTCCAACTCCAAGTTTTAAAAAAATTAACGCCAAGTATGTACATAAGAACGCAAAGTTACATGATACAGCTGGATAAAGATGTTATACTCTAAACAGTATCTAACATTAATAGTGTGGTTCTAAACTAAGAATTGTTTGTCATTGACAGCCCAGAGTAATTTTAAAATCCTGAATTTCATATTTCAACTCCTGAGAATTTTCTCATCTTAATAGGGCTTCCTGAGTTAAAACATCATCCTCTCTTAGATTTTCACATATGACTATTACTTTAAGTCTACCTTTTCTGAAAACTTATGATGAAATTTATATAATTACTTGTTTTAAGGCATTTTCCCCTTCTGAATTGATGGGCATATGTTCTTTAATAGCTATTGAAGATTCCAGCTTTTAGCATATGTCATTCATTCAGTTATGCCTACTTGATGTCTTTTTAATGGAAACCTATGGCTAAAAGTAATTGCCAAAGCTAGATTTATGCTTTCCAATTCACCTCTCTGTAATATTGCTATTTAAAAGTTTGTGACACAAGAAAGTATATTCTTTAACGTCCCCTCCCCACAAATAAAACACAAGTGTTTAACTATGATCCCACTCTATGCCTTTTTTTCTCTTTCTCCCTCCTCCTCTTGTCTTTGGCACACTTTATTTTCCAGTAAAATAAAAAATGAAGATGGATTATTCAAAACTGATAACAGTAATGGACCATCATGTAATGTTTTATTGAATTAGAGTTCTGTAAATTATGTGGTGGAGAGAAATTTGCCTGCTTAAGTATAACAGAAATTGCTACTGTGTTCCTATAATTCTTCACAGTGTAATTTAAGAAAAGTCCACTATCCATATCACTATTGAATAAAAGGTAAAAAGGTGCTATTACCCTAACATGACAGCTCTCTATTAGCCTACTAAAGGACAGAGACAAATGCATCTACTTATAACTTACTTGGCACGAATCCAGGGAGTAGGTAGAGTTTGAAAATAGTCTTTCACCTGGACATGTGATTAAAAATTCACCGAACGACAGAGGCAGGTAGCCTTGAAGAATATTCTGTGTATTTTCTTTTTATGAGGGTGGTTTCATCGAATATTTTCTTTCTGAGGGCTTTGAAGTTCCACGAAGCTGATAAAATCTATTTGAATGAGTGATTATGTTTAAAGAGAAGACAAACAACAGGAGGCCAGACGGGCTTTTTGTTCTGATTGGCAGTTTCTTTCACTTACCTGCCATTTTAAAGAATTCATAATTAGCTTTTAGAAGTACTGAAAATATTTATTGAAGGTTTTTCTTTATGAATTTTACTTATGATAACACAGACTTCTGTTGGAATGTAAGAAAATCAAATTCATCAGGAAATTCATTCTTTGAAAGAATAAGGCTTCTCACTTCTAACCAGTATGTATCAACAATGCAGAATAATTTTATGTTTATATATATATATACAACATGCATCTAGTTGTTTGTAAGATGTGATGTCCCAGTGAATGACAGCTACTCATTTCCAATAAAATTAATGCTGGTAACTTCCTATATAATGTGCAAGTTCACAAGTTCTTTTTAGAAACAAAAATGATGAATGATTTTGTTGAATTTAGTTCAGCAAATTTATTGAGCACCTATGGTATATGATACTGATGTTTTAATCTTAGTATCATAGCATATTCTATGACTAAAACAAATGAGGAATATGAGAGCCTTGTCATACTTCTCTTTCGGTGTGAAGAAAGATACCTGGTAAGAGAGCCCTCTGTCAGTCAGCCATGGGAAATTATCATGTAAGACCTTACCCTAACCTGGCCAGTCTGTACTGCATTTAAAACTAGAAAATGGGAGGTGGGGGCCACAAACTACTTGAGTCCACAGACAACAATGATCTGAACAGAAACAAAACATGCATTCCTGTATCTTGGTGCTGATAATCATTTTGCATCCACAATTATTCTAAAGTGACATGACCCCCCTTTTTTTAAAATTAAAACTAATCAAAAGTTTTCTAACAATATTTTCAAGCATTTCCACCAGGGGGCACTCCCCTCATTGAAAGCTCTGGGCCAAAAAAAAAAAAAAAAAAAATTTCTAAACACAGGAGATTGTCTACACTGGCTGTTTTAGAGCTTGTTGAGTGTTCAAACAAGGTTTGAAACATTGCATCAGACTATCAGCATATTCCAGGCAGAAAAACTGCTTTTGTTCCAGTAGGATAATTAATTTAAGTGGAAATAAAATGCTTTGCCCCTGTAACACTTGTGTGCTTAACTGGGAAGGCATGCCAACTTCAAAATGTAGGCAGAGGACATGTTTTCTTCTACCCTGAGCTGTAGCAAGATGTCTTAGGCTCACATTAGCAAGACTTGAGAGATAATTACACATTTTTTTCACGGGTTTTATTTTTCTCTGTAATTCTCTGCTGCTTCAGGAAACATTTTAGTAGAAATAATGTGATATATTACTTTGTTACTTAAGATTTTTAAATTTCTAACTGCAGATATTTCTCCTAAATATCTATAGGCTTTTTCCCTAACCTATTTTTTTTTACATTACTAAACAATTGTGTAGATAACATCTCAGTGCCGCATAACTTTTCAGTTCAGGTCCACCCTGAGTAAGAGTAATTACCATTAGAATTTACCCATGGGTTTTTGTTCATGTTTTTATCACCTATTTGCAATTTCTTTCTTTTTGTGATCTGTATAAACATAATTAATCAGTTGAGTAAATATTTATCAAACACTTAGTGGTAGGCATTGTGCTAGGATGACAAAATTGAATATTATATTCAAGAAATCTATAACACTGTATTTATGTATACCGAATGTTTGCATCTCTAGTTCTGTGTAGTTGAGATACAGTGCTTTACCAAGAGCATTAAAAAATACACAATATTTAGTGGGGAGGGATGGTGAGGAAGGGCTATTTTATTATATCTATTTTCAGAATTTTCCTGCGTGTGCACGCGTGCGTGTGTGTGTGTATGTGTTTGTGTAACCTTTGTGTTGGTTTCAGTATGACACATCAGAAATACTTCAATCTAATTAGTTGGCATTGTGCAAATTAAATAGCTGGATGATTGACTGCCTTTTTGAGTGAATTTTAGTTAAATTGACTAGAGTCGTTTTGTTCCTATGTAGACACGGTTATAGCCTTACTCATTGGTAGCGTGAATAAAAGAACACGTGCCCCTCATTTTTCAGTCAAATCTCTTAGGGTGAAACTGAAAGTTCAAGTCCAGTTCCTAGGCTGTGATTACAGTATATCAAGTGAGAGGTTTCTTTAAAATTGATTATTTGAAGCCCCCAGAAACTGTTAGAAATTCTTTCATATCAGTTTATAAATCATTTAAAAAGTGGACAGTGCTTTTACACAATCTGCACCCAACTGTTATGTATAAGCAGTATGGTGCATTATTTTGAGGAACTGGACACAAACCCAGGTTTGTATTTCTCCATTGTTTTGATCTTAACATCCCTCGTTTGGGAGGATTATTGGAAAGTAGATTTGGAATTATGTATACATTTTGATGAGATTTTTATTCTGAGCTGTATTGCAATACTCTGGCTAAGTAAAGAGTGCCTCAACTACTAGTCCATGTTCAAGATCAGAGAGAGGCTGCTGAGCCCTGAAGTTATCGGAAAAACAAAAAAGGTTAGCCGAAAACTTTTTGACTATTTTTGTTTCTTATTATTCTTGATACACATTGGAAATAAAACTTGTTTTTAATAATGAGTTCTTCCAAAATTAAAAGGTTAAAAAATACTATACTATACTTTGGGGGAAGAAAGACACCTTAAAGGAGTTTCCAGTGGTATGAATTTCCTCTATTACTAATAATGCTTTTTATTTCTTAAGAAATTTGATATTTTTTACTGTGGTAAGTTTTTGCAATGTTAAAGTGTGATTATGTGTTTCAGATTTGATCAAAGGTCACAATTTTAACTTGTTACCAAGTGGTATAGCATAGCAAGGTTGTACCGTATTTAAAATAGTTTCAGATAGTCAGTGGTTCCGTTAGATGGCGAATTGAAAGGACCACCTGGTGTCATTTGCTTTGATAATTGGAAGATTAAGGAGCAACTTAAAGCATTGCCTGTGAAAATATAGCATAATTCTTAGGTGATGAAATAGTAATACTCATTTTTTTTTCCTGACATGTTACAGTTCATTTTCTGGTATTTTCATTAAAAGTTCTATTTACTGCTTTAGAAATGGCTTTATATCTTTACATACTAAGCTATTGGCATTCCGCTGTCTTTGTCTAGGCAGGTTGAGAACTATGCAGTCCGATGCTGTTGTGTTAGGAGGATTTCATTTATTCTTCCTTCCATCGTCACTCTGTGAGAGATTTTATGGCAAATTAAGCTACTCAAAGGAAGGAGACTCTAGGCAGTTTCGGTTTGTTATGTGTAAAGCAGATGCTTAATAAAATTAAGAATACAGTTGAGCCTCTCTTCTTCAGTACTCCAGTTGTCACTAATGTACTATTCCTATGCAGAATTAATGCCTCTGACGATTCACTTTCTAAACAGAGCAGAAGAAAGGGGGAAGGGTCACCTCTGGCTGACCAGAGCCCGGATCAAGCTCACCCTGTGCCTCTCATTCCCTGCAGGGCTTGCTTTCCGAAATCCTCCGGAAGGAAGAGGATCCCAAGACCGCATCCCAGTCTTTGCTGGTAAACCTTCGGGCTATGCAGAATTTCTTGCAATTACCAGAAGCCGAAAGAGACCGAATATACCAGGATGAAAGGGAAAGGAGCTTGAACGCAGCCTCGGCCATGGGTCCTGCACCCCTGATAAGCACACCGCCCAGCCGCCCTCCCCAGGTGCGGTCCCTTTCCTGTGGCACCTTCTATCTTTCTTTCTTTTAGAGAATTTCACCGAGAAGCTAGATACAGAGATTTAAAAATTCATACAGTTGTTTGAGGAAAATTTCATCCCAAATCACCAATTCTGATATGAAAACAATGAGCTACTCATTAGAAAGCAGAAAAAAATTGTTTCATCTTGCTCCATTCTTTGAGTTTTTTAGACATGAAAGGAGTCTTTAAGTGGAATATTTGCCTCTACTAATACTAAATAAAAAAGTATTTTAAATTCAATAGGAAAAAGAAGAGTAAGGTTAGTTTTATCCCTATCAGTTTTAGAAGTGCCATTTGAATAGTAAATAAATAAAAATAAATAAGTAATTGCATTTGTAGTTATGCTTTCCAATACGAACTGCAGCTGGTACCAATTACACATCATCTCGTTTGTAATCTTTCATAATTAAGTTTAATACAATCCTTGAAGGCAGCTTTAAATGGGGCTGATAAGGAATTCCACCCATATTCCCAGAAATGGGCACATTTTCTGTTTCTTCGAGTTTTGTGTCACTTTTTTAGGAGGGTAAAACATTACCTTCCAGGTAACTTTTGTGGTTGTCCATCGGTATTGTTGCTTTTTTAATTTTTATTTTTATTAATACATGTTTATATAATGGTTACATACATTACGGGGAGTTGGTATATGTGCACAACACATCTTAATTCTTTTTCTGTTCTTGTTTTTGTTTTGCTTTTTGGTGCCGGTGATCGAACTTGGGCCCTTGTACTCATGAGGCAGGGCACAGGTGGCAAAACCACTGAGCCATATACCCTGCCCCCGTCTTAATTCTTTTTGTGTCCCCTTCACTTCCCTCTCTCTCTTTTCCCCCTTCCATTTCTATTCCTTGTTTGCAAAAGATTTATCTCCTTGTTTCCCATTGTATTATTATTTTTTAAATCAAGTTTCACAGTAGCCTTATAATTATTATAAGAATTTAATAAATTAATTTTTAATGCAAAGTATTTGATAAAAATTGGACAAAATCCATAAGCAGGTGTATTTTTTACATGTGTAATCTGTGGCTTGCACAACTCTTGAAAATAAGGTCAACTAAGATGAATAAAAGTTGAATGTGGAACACAAAATCAAGTAATCTTGTAACATATAATGTCATAATGAAATTATGTTGAAGTTTATTTTTTCCGTCAATAGTAAGAAAACAGAAAGCGTGCATTACTATGTATAGAAATGTAGAAAGAACCTGCTGAACAGTAAAGATGGAACTGCTACAGACACTCCATAATTGAGAAATAGATATACTATCCATCCAGTCACTTGTTGGGTATCTTGAACTAGTTATCTAGTTATCTATAGGAGCAGATTATAAGGAAGTCATTGCTGAAATTGTGAATAAACAGTCCTGCTTCTTATATATATATATATACACACTACACACACACACACACACACACACACATATATATATGTATGTATACAGATATATATATATCCACCTGCCTACTCATGCACAGTTAGAGTTTGATCTGTAGTAAACCCTTAGGTAAAATATTTTCTAATATAACGAAGTAAGCACTCTATATGTAAACATACAGCAGATAGATACGACTTTTGTATATATATATACACACTACACACACACACACACACACACACACATATATATATGTATGTATACAGATATATATATATCCACCTGCCTACTCATGCACAGTTAGAGTTTGATCTGTAGTAAACCCTTAGGTAAAATATTTTCTAATATAACGAAGTAAGCACTCTATATGTAAACATACAGCAGATAGATACGACTTTTGTCAAAAAGATTAAATACAAATACTCTTCCTTGGCCTTGGTTTAACTATTGTTGTGCATGTTCAGCCTTGGCCTTGGTTTAACTATTGTTGTGCATATTCAGAGTTAATGCACACACTGTAACTCGTTACCATTGTTCCTGTAGTCATCACTCTCTGGCCTCTTATTTTGCTTATCCCTTGATCTGCAATGGTAATGAAAGAAAGGCTTGCTTAAAACCAATATGAGTTTCAATACTGAGCACCCCCTTTCTTAAAAAATTTGCCAAATATCTGACCTGGTGATTTCTTAATACAGATTTTTTTTTCCATATTTTTTCCTCTTTCTCTTTCCCCCAAATTTTGAGGGTTTCTGCCCAAAATGTGATATGCTACCCTTATTCATTTTCTTTAGCAAAATTATTCTAACTCTTATTAAGTGATACTTGTTTTCATGTACTCTTAAGATACTCTTGGGTAGCTTTCTTGTATATATATGTATGAATGCAGTATCTGCTGTTGTAAGTTGGGATAGAAAACATGTACTTTGGCCTAAGTTATTGATTACCTGATTAAGCTACCCTTAGTTGTATAGTATATTTATTTGTTCTGAAGAAAGTTTGAAGGCTGAGGATGTTGCTCAATGGTAGAGCAATTGTTGAGCATGCAGAAGGCTTTGGGTTCAACCCCTAGTATTGGTAAAATAATAAAAAGACTTGAGACTAAGCCCTTAGCTATGACATTGAACCAACAATGAATGTATTGTAGAAATACTGCAGATTTTAGTGAACTTCTTCCAAAGGAAATGCTTCTATTAATGCAGTATTACTGGCCATTTAACCAAATTCTGAAATGATCATCTGATACCTGTATGTGTAATTTTATTTTATAGCTCATATACATAGCTTTAAATTACATTTCTTGCCTCCCAAAGGATCACTACATTACTCAATATTAAAATAAAGCTCACTACCAAATTGTACTTTATCTATTATTAGTGATTCAGTTAAATTTTAAGAAATTCTTGATATATTAAAGTTATTATTACAAATTGAGTACTTTAGATTTGGAACAAACATGCTATAGCAGCAGCTGAAATTGAACTCTACATAAAAGGGTTTTAATAGGCCTATTACAAATGGCTAAAATGGGAGGGGAAAATGGAGAAAATCACAGATAGAGGAAAATACTGCAAATTTTTGTCTTCTTTAATTTCTTTTTCCATAGAAGAGCTTGTGTGAGATCACTGTGCATTTCATTTCTCCCAAAATTAGATTTAAGACTTCTTTGACTCAAATTTTTGGTTTCGTGTGGACCTAAACCCTTATTTATTTTTTTTTTCTAAAGAACTTCACGTTAAAGAATTACAGGTAATTATAAAGAAGTACGGGTTAGTGGCTCACAGAACACCTAGGCCATCTTTACTCCTGAGTCTGGATTCTCTTCTAGCACCTAATAGGGTATAGGTCACACATAGGATGAATTTAGAATGTGCCTGGGGCCCAAGCCCTGAAGTAGCGAGCAACTAGCACTGAACTAGAGTTCAAGCAACTGAACTGTTGAGGCATTTGAATTCCAGAAGTACTTAAATAACTCCAAGAACTTCCCTAGCTTTAGGTAGAGTTCTTACACAGATACCTCACTTGGGGGGACTTAGACCAGCCTCCGGAAATAGCAGAATTCCTGGTTGGTCCAGCAAAGTTTGTGGCCTCCTACGCATACCTGCCCCTTGGCCTTCATTTGGGGCCCTCCATTTCTTACCGTGGGCTTTGTGCTCTGCCTGGGGCCAGATGTATTTTCACAACCTGCCACGCTCTAATTCAAGAAATAAGAGGACCAGGGATTTAGCTCAGTGGTGCCACTTCAAGCCTCACAAACTCAAGGTCCCAAGTTCAATCCCTGGTACCAAGAATACCCTCGCTTGACAATGATTCCTAGTTTTCTAAGCACCTTAACATTAATTCATTGAATCCTCATACCAACCTTTTGGTAAGAGACAAATGAGAAACTCAGGTGTGAGGCTGAATTCTAGTTGTCAAATCCCCTGGGAGGTCTGTTCTTTCCTTTACCTCAGACCACCTCAGCAAAATACAAAACTTATTTTTGAAAAGGGCAAAAAGGAAGCCTGGGGACTTTTTCTGTTTGTCATACAAGATAAGAAGTTGTATTGTTAGATAAGAAAAAAGGAACCTAGGAGAAAAAAAATCGACCTGGTGGAATAAATTATATGAATTCTTTTTTTTTTTTTTTTTTTTTTTTTTTTGTACTGGGGATCAAACTCGGGACCTGGTAGAATAAATGAAATGCTTGACAAGTGAGCCACATGGAAAGTGTCTGAACAGTGGTATTTCTGATGTTGTGGAGAAACTCTCCCTTCCAAACTGTGATAATATGAAAATGCCTAAGAGAACCTATTCCCCTCAAATGTACTTGGCTTAAAAGTTTCTTTTCTCACCATGCTTTGCTGATCTACCTCATGAGTTTACTAGAAGAATTTTATTAATAATAATTAGTGATTTTTTTTTCTTCTAATTGTTCCACAGAACAGATAAGTTTTAAGGTTTTCTAGTCTGTGCTTATTCTGTTTTTTGTGTATTTTTTACATGTGACTTTGGAGTTAAATTAATTTTGTAATTTCAGTTTCCATAAAGACTGTTTGAAAGCATATAATTATCAAGTTGTAACTTTTACGTGAATTATATAATTCATTTTTTACATCTCTATATATGCTTCTTTAATTGCTTCTAAAGTAAGGTTTGATATTTTATAACAATGCTTAGAAAATGTTCAAAGTTCATATAAAATACATATAATTAATCTGGTAGTTGCACTATCATATCTCTTTACAGCGTATCCTTCTACAGTATACTGCAGGTTCATTTGATTTCAGCTTCAGTTACAAGCATGAACTTAACCCCTGATGAAATGTTTGTCATGGAAAACATGAAGATTGAGTTTGTAAAATGCTTCTCATTAATAGTCATCTCTTAAAAGCTAAAAGATCTTTAAAGTCTAGGTTTGAAAAATAAATGTTATTCCTGTAGAATAAAGGAATGTCTAAAAAGCTCAAACCATGGTACTAAAGACAAATATATAAAAATTGCAGAGCAGGGACTATTTTTATTACCAATAAGCATTCTACAGAATAGCATATTTCTTAAACAACAGGACTAAGAAAACATTTGTATCCCTGCATGATGACTCATCCCTGTAATCTCAACACTTAGGAGGCTGAGGCAAGAGTGTCCCTGCAAGTTAGCATGGCATATATAAAATGAGTTCAACCCCAGCCTAAATGATATAGACCCTGTCTCAAAAAGCAAAGCAAAACAAATTTATGGGTTCCATACCTTGAGAAATAAATTCAAGTCAGATTTATAGTATCAATTAGAAAATTGCTAACTATGTCTTCATAAAAATGTTTCTAAAAAGGCCCTGATAACAACATGAACTCCACATAGTTGTGATCTCTAAGAACTAGAGTCAGGCAAACTTAACAGTTTCAACCTTGAGCCATGAATAAATTACTTAACCTCTTGTTATAGCAGAATTTTTTTTCAATTTTAAAATAATACCTACTTTGGGCTATTATGTAGGTTAAGAAGTTAATATACATTTATGGAATCCCCAACACATAATAACTAACTAATAAATGTCAGTTTTATTGTCATAATTATTAAAAGTACATAAAAATTTAATTTTGTGTACGTGAGAGCTGTGTGTGCTTGCAGGCAGTTCTTCCTGCATTCAGAGAGTAGCACATTCACCAATCAAGACCAAAGGAGTTTGTTTTGTGCAACCTGAAAGTTTGATTTGATGAATTTAGCAATCCATGAAGAAGCAAAATGTAATTTTTAGGAGGAATTTTTGTTCTGCTGCACAGTTTTAGTGAAATAAAGCAGACCCTAGTGCTGCATGCACCCTGTCCCCATATGACAGGGTAAATCGTAGAAGCTCCCGATCCTAACTACTTCCCTGGCGCCTAGGTAATAATGGAGTAGTAGTGTACCTCACCTTGATAAAAGCTATTCTGAAAGCAACTGCATTTATTTTACCTCCTGTGCTGTTTGCAGAGAAGAGCTGAAGAGTAGTTTGTTTTGCCTGGAATGAACTACTTTGTGAGTTTTAGTGTGTGATATAATATTAAAAGCTAAACCAGGATTAAAGAATTTTTTTGTACTGAGCTAAAATAGTACTTAGTAGAGTAGGCATAAAAGATTTTTGTTTCCATTTTTACCTGGGGAAAAATTGAGCTTTGGTATTTTGAAAAGCTGTCCAAGTCAGTTACCCTTAGGCAGTAAGTAGTTTTTGTTGAGGGGGAAAAAAGTGATTCCAGAATCCTAATAGCTTATCTGTGATAAGATGCATATCTAGGCCAACAAGATGATAAGAATTTTTCTAAATTTTTTTTGAATGAGTAATCCAGACAGATATTGTGTAACTTTCCATTTTTAAAGTTTTTCCCTCACTTCTCTCATTTTTAAATTTTTTATGTTTCATGTGTGTTTTCAATTTTGGTTTGTATTGGCCACAAGGAAATGAATATTTGACTTTTTATGATCTAGATTTCTTGCTTATTATTTAAAATTTATTTAAAAAATTAACTAAAGAAATTTTTAGAAAGAGAATCACAGGGTTGAAACAAATAATGGTAGCCCACCTCAATGATAAATATTCCCATGTAATTTTTACAGAAGAATCAAAGTTGTTTTAAAAATAGACCAAAACACTGAGTTTCCAAATCTGCCATTAACTTTTACTATGTAGATTGCTGCTAAGGAACTGTTTCTTCCAAGGCTCTGGACTTTGTTCCTTAATTACATAACATTCAGTTTTCAAAGCCATTGAAATGGCTTTTCTTTTTTCTTTTCATTTCAGCAGTGAGAAAAATAGGTATTGAAAGGGACCCCATGGGGTGATCAAATCTATCCCTCGCCTCAAAGCAAGACCACCCCAGAGCAAGATTTCAAATCTCACCAAAGCACCTTTGTAGGCAGTTTATGGTAATGTGCTAACTCTTCTGGCTCCTGAAGTGGTGTTTAGCAGATTATTGCTTCAGAGCCGGCTTCTTAGTGGCCTCCAGTCATTATTAGTGAGTGCCCTGACTGACCAGACTCCAGAGCGGGAAAGGGGACTCTGGAAATGAACCTAGACTCCTGCAGTCCTCTCCAGTTGGTAGTGTGAGGAGGCAGTGAGACCTCATTACCTGCCTTGTAGTCTGCAGGCCTGTGGTCGGGCCACCGCGTCGCGTTAGCCTTCCGCTGGTCAGAGGGGATTTGTCCTGCTGGAAGACTCTTCAAGATGAACAGGAGGTGAAGTATTTTTCTGACTAGAAGTTAGAGAAATTCAGAAGGTACATTACAAAGGGACCCACATCTACTCTTGAAAAACAATTTTCTGAGGTAATCTCTGTACCGTTGCCCATTATTTTGAGGACAGAGTGAATTAAGAGCATGGAAGACTTGTAGTTTGATTAGAGATGTATCGTCTGATGCCAGAAAAATCATTCTTTTATCCTAAAATGCACTTCATTTTCTATTGTTCAGAGGTTATGTTAGGATTTGTGCAGGATGGCAAGATTCTAAAATACAGAAACCTGTAAATGACACTATGAAGAGAGGTCCTTCATCATTTTGCTGGGAGAACCGCGGCCCTGCCTCTCTAGTCATATTTCACTTCCATTTTCATAAATTTCTCAGTTAAAAAGATCTACATAGTTCATATGGAAGTGTTCAAGGCTTGTTCCTATAATTGCATAATAAAAATGAAAGTTGGAGTTAAAAAATAATAGCCGTATCAATAAATTTGGAGGTGATTTCATTTTCTCCCTAAAATTTGTGACATTTTCCTGCCTGTGTCTGTTTTTCATTATTATGCAAGGCAGTGATACTGATCTTTTGCTCAGGATTATACATTTTAAGTATATTTGTGAAGTCACTGATAATATATTTTGTGTTACAATAACGTTCTATTAAATGTTGTGAAACATTTTCTTATTGTCTGGTTCCACAAGTCAAAAGGAAATTGTTATATACAAGGGTGCCAGGAAAAGATGAAATAATTATACAGAACAGCTTGGACATGCACGTGTAAAATGCAACCAGCCTTTATGATAATTAAGCAAGGCACTCTACCTGTTTCATGGATGGATAGAAGATTTAAATATGCAGTTCTGCAAATGGCTTTGTTATGGAAGATTTTAAAAATGAAGCATAAGAGGAAAAGGCATAAAAAAGAGTCTAAAATTAAAAAGGCCATAGTATATAATAGCTATTAGTGATGCAATTGTCTATTAGCACCAGGCACCCAGTGAAGATCAGCATTGTGCATTATGATTTTAATTGTGAATTTCCGTTGTTAGGATTGCAATAGAGAGTAATTGGAAGACAATTAGTTTAGGGTTTTCAAGTCTTTGAAACTATTCTGTTTTCCAGAAAACTTACTTTATGGCATTATAATTCCTGGTTATCAGCTGGCAGTTGCTGTCACATTACAGTTGCAATCACCTGTGACAATGTGACTTCCTTAACTTAAGCAGTCTGATCTCAGGGCAATAACTAATGTTGAATGACTGCGCTGTTGATCACCTTGATCATAAAAGGAGCAACAGTGTCCAGTTTGGATGCTGAGCCTGAGAAGCTTCAAAACAATTTGGCCAATGAAAAATGACAGCCATATTCAAAATGTTTTGTAGGTGAAAACAGCTACGATTGCCTCTGAGAGGAATGGGAAACCAGAGAACAATACCATGAACATTAATGCATCCATTTATGATGAGATTCAGCAGGAAATGAAGCGTGCTAAAGTGTCCCAAGCACTGTTTGCAAAGGTTGCAGCAACCAAAAGCCAGGTAAGAGCCTCTGTTAGGCATTGAAAGTATTTATCTTTGATGCTGGTGGAATTTTCAATAACAAAGGTATCTGTTTGAATACGAACTTGCATCTCTGAGAGGTCCCAATCTCTAGGAATATATATAACTTCTTAGATGAAATGATGTTCACATTTAGGTTATAGTTTTGTTTTTGTTTTTGTTTTTGTTTTTGTTTTTTGTTATAGTTTTGGTTTTGTTTTCCTTCAAAAGCCACTTCTCCATCAGGGATTTATCTGTCAATCAATTAATAGTTGCTTTTAGAAGAATAACATAATGTCGAGAAAGTTTCATAGAGAAATTACCCTTTCATTATTATTTAGATCATAATTTTCATTCTAAAATAAGACAAAAATACAGTTTCTTCTGTTTGAACCTGTTAGGTATAACTTACTACAACAAACTTCACACACGTATTTTTGCATATTAATGACAGTTTTATATAGATGTACAAGATACATAGATTGAATTACTACTAGAAACTTGTCCAATTCTGATGAATTACTGGTAGAGGAATTGGAAAAGTTGCAAATCTCTACAAAATGAGAAAAGCAAAGTATAGTTAAGTTACTGCAGGCTTTGTCAGTGTAACTGTCGTGTGTTGAGAAATTTTCTTCATCAAAAGTAGAATCATCTGAGAACAAACTCCCAAATGCTTATAAACCCTTCTCCAAGAATACTTTTTAAAGGATCAGAAGAATACTAAATTTTCTTCCCCCTGGCAAAGGATTTGATAACTATCAAGGTGAGATTTAGAAGCAATCAAGGGCTCCAGGTGAGATTTGAACAACTTGAAATTGTACACAAGTATATTTTCATTATCATTAATGAACCCTCTTTTACATAACATCCTGGCTGTTGTCAATTTGTGATAAAATATATAATTCTGGGAGTATTTATAACACAACCTTTTTAGCTTTCCAAAAATTTTACTTGATCAAAATTAATAGTGATAGCTAATGGAAGTTTTACTTTAGAAGAATGTTGTTCTTGTTTAAGATATAGGCTAGATGAAATACTTAAGGGATATCTTGGAAATGTTATATAAAAATGATTAAACTCAAGCTGTGGACTGTAAAAATTATAGCTTTATAGGCCACATGCCTGCCTACCCTTCAATCACTGTCAAAGTGATAATTTCTACAATAATATGTTTCTTTTATTGTGAGATTCTAAACATCAAGTGCTGTTTAAACATTAAACTGAATTGTTTATGTTAGTGCTGTACTCAGCGTGCCATACATCAGGCCACCATAATCTCTCATGGAATGTAAAATCCTGTCATGAATCATGGCTTGTATATCGGAAATTACTGTAATTTTGATTGGAAATTACAGGGCTCTTGAAATGTTTCTAATTATGATAGAATGTTAGAGCCGCTTCAAACCTGTGTGCTTCTTCAGATGTCTTCATTTACATGCCAAGACTAAGCATTAGGAGAAGTGTCCTGTTCTCACTTCACCCACCCACCCTGAACATTCTTGTTTTGACTGTTTAGTCTAATTATGATGAGGATCTCTTATTTAAATATATATTATTTTGCCTTTCTCTCTGATCCTACATCTTTTTTTCCTGACCTGTCTAATTACCAAGAATAACAGACTGCATTCCTACAAGGGCCAAGCACTTTCCCCAAATCTCCGAAGTGGAAAAACTAGGCGTGCATTATTATAATCAGGTCAACCTTAAAAACAAAACAAACAAAAATTAATAGTGCAGATTTTCAGCGAGTACCATTAGTTACCTGTCGCTTTCATTTACTCCCTCACCCCCCATGTCCTTTTTCATTGTAGTACCGCTCCCTTTGTCTAAATGATACCCTGCATTTTCTACCCCTGGGATGATTTGCTGATTTTGTAACTGTTCAGAAAGTACCAGCAGTTGTCTAATATTGTTGTGTGCGGTGTTCTGGGAGTTTGTAAACATCTTGCCTCTTGTACGGAGTGATTCACAGATCTCCTAAGTCCCTATTTCAGCAGTTCAGTGGGCATCTTCTAATACATGATAGTTTGTTTCCTCAGACCCCCTAAGCTTAATCTCCTCTTTACTTGTTGATTGAAAAATCTAAGGGGCTGACTGCAGGCCGTGGGGTTCCACAACTGCTTTCATGCCCTTGAGTAGTCATTCCTGATTTCTAATATACTCTTCTACCAGGGCGTGTTCATAGTTTTCTCTTAGCTGTTCAGTTTAAATGTTAAGCACTATCCTTTTTATGAGAATATGTACAAAGATGGGTGATTACTTCAAAATCAGACAGGTAAAAACTATGTACATTACTAACGGGAAATCTCAGAAGGGAAGGTGGCCATTTACTTAGGTTATATTCCACTGTGATGTCTAAAAAGCTGACACACCAGCAAAAATAGAATCTTCAAGTCAGACTGACCTTCCTCATGGTCAAGATTTGTAATTTCTAACGTAGTTATCGATGCCTTGAGCCAGAGCCTGTCAGAATGAACAGCACCCCCCATCAAGTGTGTGTAAAATGAGAAGCAGAGCATCTCCAGTTTTATCTCCTGTGTCCCACCCTGGTTGTCTCGGTTGCCTTAACAACTACCTCCTCTTTCCCGATAGAGCCTGTCGTACATTATGTATTAACTGCATTTAACTTTATAACCCTGTTAACTTCTGCAGTTTGCACATGAGGGTCACTCAGCTAATAAATAGTAGAGCCGACTCCGAATTGCATCCCTCTGATGATCCTAGTAATCTCTGCAGGGCTCAAGGCGGGATTAGTGCTAGTTACCCCTGCTCGGAGGAAGAGGAATTTAAGGGTATTGGAGTAGTTGATAGTAGAAGCAGCAAGGGCTTTCTTTTCTTCATTGACTCGGTGATGGAATACAGGTTCATCCCAACACAGGTGGTGGAATTCAGGTTCATCCCAACACAGGGCCCTTGGAATCCAAGTATTTTCGTGCCTGGTAGAAGTGGGTAGACATGGTGGAAGGGCCAAAGGATGTGCCAGCTAGCTTCTGGTACCACAGTACTGAGAAATTATTTAAACATGTTGAGCCCTTTTAACATGGGAGGAAGTCATATTTTCTAATATATACAGAAACATTTCGAAATTATACAGCGCTCTGCATGGGATTATATTTTATAATGTGCTACAAAAGAAGTTCAGTCCTCCATATTGATAAAAGTAATTTATTTCTCACGTATTTATTTCTAATACCTTCTGTTTTAAAAGTTAGAGTGCTCTGTAATGACTAATACGCAAAAGTATTTTCCGTAAAAGAAACCAACTTGTGTAGATTCCACAGTTTCTCGTGTATTACATTCTCTTCAATGAATAATAGAAATGAGATCGTTTTTAACTCTGATAGAACCGTCTGAATAAAATATGCAACTGAAAACTGAAGGTAGGCTACTTTTTTTTGCTTGGTAGATGATGTGCTTTAAACATAATGTGAATAGCACAAATGAATACACTTTATATTCTGAGTATTCAAAAAAGCAGCAGTTTTTCCAAGTGAATCATATTGGAATTTTATCAAACATTTAGTCTGATAGCATTCAAATAATTATGAGAGCAGAATTTGCTAATTTTACTGTTTAAAAAAATAGTTGATTTGGGTAATAACCATTACAGTATCAAGGTTCAGTTACTGTTCATTGGTTATAGTGTTTTCATATGGGAGCTGGAAATGGAATTTTTTCCTTAATAGTGGCAGATGTTGGAATCTAATTTTACTTCACAGCAAACCCCCTGAGAGCTCTGAGACTTAAGGTGTGTGTCCAGCAAAGGGACATTAGTGGCGCCATAGGCCTTGCATTGTACACCGGATTATTACATTGATTTTCATGTTTGCAGGGGTGGGTGGAGTTTGCAGATACATCAGCACAGTAAGAGTCCAGGGCTGTCACAGAGCTGCACTGCATCGTGACCTGTATTTAGAAAATGATTCCTGTCTTGTGCTTTATTAAACCACGGTATTTCTTTTAGGTAAAACAACTAGGTGTGAAGATTTTATTTGAACATGCTTTCAACTTAATCTTTTGTAGTGTTGTGAGTTATAGGACTCCAGTCACTTCAACTTTGGTTGGATTGACAGGTATGGTTTTGGGCCCTAAAAAAAAAAATTTCTGTCTTTGCAAAAACAGTGCACCTTGTGACTGTTAGAAGAGACAAAGTAATGTAAAACCTTTTTCTTTCTTCGGTTTACTTTTCATGCACTTCTGTCTTTGAAATTCAACGTGATTGAGAGTGTAAGGAGAAAGAGTTCATGCACTTCTGTCTTTGAAATTCAACGTGATTGAGAGTGTAAGGAGAAAGAATACTTCGGTATTCCTTAGGTTTGTAAGTCTAAAACAAGAACGTCATCCTGACATTTAGGTTTAGAAATTCCTAGATGGTGATTGGAGTGTATTAAATACAAGACATGCCAAACAAACCAGTAGGCTAGAATAGGGCTAAAAATACAATTTTAGTTGCTGGAAATTCCAATCTGTAACAACAGAATCCAGGAATGAAATCTCCAGTGACACTGTATTCTGTTTTTTAGCATACTACAGAAGCACTTTTTATTTTGTTAGGGTTAAATTACATTTCATGGAAGCCACCCACAGTTTGGAGCTGTGTGTTGGTCCCTTCTTTTGGAATGAATGTGTTACAGACTGCTGTAGTAGTCTCTGTGTAGTGGCCTCTGTCAGGCACACAGGAGACCCTGCGGACTGGAGAGTAGAGTTCCTGTTCTTTCTGGTGCCCCTTCCTTTAATCACAGCCCGTGAGAAGATGCTTTTGTTGTATTCTCATTGCTGCTCCTCTTGAGCTCAGTTTCCTTCAGCCACAGTCAGAAGAGAGCAGGTCCCTCCACACACTTTCTCCAGTTCTCCATGGGGCCTTTGTCTTTTAAAGTGGGTGGAGGAGACCCTGGGCAGGCACAGCTTAGGTTTCTTCATTGGTTTGCCTGAAAGAGGAGGGGCCAAGCAGATCATTCCTGGGGAAAACAGGAGAAAGCCTGCAGGAGCATATCCCCTGG